AAAATTAACGATGAAGACGAGATGAAAAAGAAACTAGACGAAATGCAATAATTCACGACAACGATAAGCGGCTAAATGCAATGAATAACACTATGCTTTAACAATCAAACGAATGTGTTGTAAGAGGACACGAGATAACCGAGTTTTTGGAGATTGGTTGTTATGAACCGATTTGATCCTTGGAATCGGCTTTTTCGTGGTTCTTGAGACAAGTTCAACAAGTGAATATATATTTTTTTTTTTGATTTTGAATAAAAGATGTGAATCAAACAGACAAGAAACAAAGAACAATCTTTTTTTTTTTTTGAAAATGAAGTTGAAACAAGATTACGGATAGATAAAACTTGATAGTTAGGAGCTTTGAAACTCTGATACCAGATGATGCAGTCTCACAAACAGAGGTATGGCTCGAACCGACCGTACGGCACCTGTTGCGAGTCGGGTAGCGATGAGCGATGGAAGCGAAGCGATAGGCGGATCNGNGTGNTGGNCGTACGNCGCTTTCACTACNGACAAAGAGATGAANGAGTGGATGCGAGGATGGAACNAAGTCACCACGAGCCGGATGGAAACAACTCGATACTAACGAAGCGAACAACTAGAAATCCCGGATTCCAAGGTTGTTCAAGAGAAATTCTTTAAGAAGAATGCCTTTGCTTTATTGATCAATGGTGAAAAAAATACAAGGCTGTTACTCGTCCGATCAGCTATGCCCTTCTAGGGGTCTTGACATTTATTACAAAGATTCGACATCTATCTAATTAAAACACAATCGGCGAAACAAATGCCCGACGCTACTTAAGGAAAGAAATCACACGACAATTTCAAATAAGGAATCATTAGTATCAAAATAATTAAAATAAATCAAGACTTACCTTAGTGGAATAGAGCCGTTGGATCGCGTCGGATCGGGTGGAGCCTTAGTCTTCAATGCGCGATATTCCAAAAAAGGTAAGTGTCCGTTGCAAGTGTTCTTGGCGGGTTGGGCCGGGCCGGTCTTGATTGGGCCGGGTCGCTAAGTCCGTGTTGTCCTTCGCTAGTAAAACCTTCACCGTGTCATGGGCCTGGACCTCATCGTGGGGATAGGCCGAGGTGGAGCTGCAGTGGGGATGTCGGTTTTGGGGGATGCATCAAAATTAGTATAGCAAATAAGTCAAGTCAAGGCATGAATAAAGGCAAGTAAAAGGAACTGTTAACGGTCAGGAAACACTTACCAAATAGACTTGAGGTTGGGAATTGGATTCACAGACAAACGCATCAGCTGTTCTCGGCCAAGAAGCTGCAGCAAGTTACCCAGGAGCTGGTCAAAGTCTTGATCCTCTAGATCCAGAGCATCAAGTTCATCTTCATCATCTTAGTATTGGGGCATCTCGTAATCCTCTTCTTCTTCTGAATCATGAACCTCCTTATGAGTGTCTTGCAGAGGAGGAGAGTGAGTGGTCATCTGAAACGATAAGGTCCGAGGAGGATACTGAGCCGGTAGGCCTGTCCGAAACAGTGAGGCAGAGGTTGTTCGTTGAGAGGGACTACCACCGCTGGTCCCAAAGCCACCATGTACACCGCCGGTGGATGTACAAGCACCGGCGTCGGCTCCAGTGCCACCACCGCCTTCACAGAGGGTGGCTTTGCGTTTGGACCCAACACCACCTCCACTGTCGATGGGTAAGCGGCTTGACGTTTAGAGCCAACACTGCCTGCATCAGTGGAGGTTGGAACTCCGGCGGTTACTCTTTCATGAGAACCGACGGCTGTTGCTCTTCTACAAGAACCAACGGCTCCTCTTCCACGAGAATCGACGGCTCCTCTTCCACGAGAACCGACGGCTCCTCTTCCACGAGAACCGGCGGCTCCTCTTCCACCACTTACGGCAGTTCCTCATCCAGCACTTCCGGCGGTTCCTCTTCTACCACTTCTGTCGGTTCCTCCTCCACGAGCACTGACGGTCCGTGAACCACCAGAGCCGTCGGATAGAGTGGTGGCAACGCCATTTCCTTTTCCACGAGAGACAGACGTGTCTCTTCCACCACCAGATCCTTCATTTCCTTCTCTTCCACCACCACCATCGGTGGCGACGGCGGCTTTACCTTTATGTCTATTAGCCATGTGTTTACACATCGCGATATCAAAGGAATGAAGAATCGCGATGAAGAAAAAAAGTTAGGGTTTAGAGAAGAAGAAGAGAAATCGAACCGATTGGGTTCGAGTAACAGAGAAGGAGGCGATATTAAAGGAAAAGAGAGAGAATAGAGAAGAAAGAGGCGATTTGATCGAAAAATATGGAGTTTATCGATGGAGAGGCGATTTTCTCGCCATCGAGTCGAGAGAGAAAATAATTTTAGGGTTTAGGGTAAAATGAAATTAGGTTTCGGCGGTTAACTATTTGTTTAACGTAGGCGTGGCTAATCCGTCGCAAAAGCATCACATATTATGTTTTGGAGGGAATTCTAGGTGCCCAAAGGCCCAAAATTTTTCGTGAAATGGGCCAAATGTTTTGGAATCGGAAATGAAAAACGGTCACAAAAGTGTCACAACGAATCCGTCACAATAATGTTGCTCAAGCGTCGCAAATTTGCGACTATTACCTAACTCTCGTAGTGGTCACAACTCGAAACCCTAAACCCTAAACATTTAAAATCATAATTGTGTGCCAAATCCCTTCCCAGTCTCTTTTTCATATACTTTGAAAAAGCGGTTTGTGGCTAGATCTCTATGTTTGTGTTTGTAACGAGTATGTGTGAGCATAAAATAAAAAACACATAGAGTTTTTCACGAGGTTCGGTTTTTCCTACATCTCCGGGACCTAGTCCAGAATCAATCCATTAGAAAAGGCCGTAACCTACAATTGTTGTATGGCATACCACCACTCTTTTCTACATGGACAAACTATGAAGATAGGTATCAAGTCCGCATGCTTGACAACCAACCAGCAGCACCGGTGCAACACCGTCTTCTCAACGGCTGCAATCTTCATAGACAAACCACCATCAATATGGTGGGAAAACGCCACACAAACATGTGTGCATCTCACAAATGAACCCTAGGCGTGTAACTCTTTTTGTCAACGTTTCTTGCCTTTTATACTACCACCACGAAACCCTAACATTTCATGTCATGTGGACTTTTAACCTCTATTATTATTTGGCTTTCTAATTCAATAATAGCCCAATCTCACTTTTCTCCACGAGTTGAAACAGCTCCACCTGTGTTCCAGAAGCTCGTATTTTGTTGCTCCAGAGACCTCTCTTTCATTCTCTCCCTTTTTGACTGAATGTGTGCATCCAAGCTCATCTTCAAACTCTCTAAATTCAATATCGACTCCTCGTCAATGGTAGCATCAATACTTTCTTGATATTCTCACTTCTTCAAGTTCTTCACTAGGATTTGTTGGAGATGCATCGGCACATTAATCTCCATCATCTTGGTTGATCATTCATTCAAAACCTCTTAAGAAAATCAAGGAACAAGGACATAAATCACACTCTCCTTCTGTGAAAACCATTTTCTTTTATGAATGTACATTTGTTCTTGGCCATGTTCCAACATTACTTTGTCTGTTCCAACATCTTTTGCAGTTCTTCTACAAACTTGATCAATTTCTTCGCTAGAGAGAAACATCCATAACTCCCGGATTTCACATCAGAATTGACTTCTGTTTTTTTCCTGTGAAAAGCTGACTTTGTTATCTTTGCAACGGTGTCAAGATCAATTTCTAATTCCTTCTAGTTTGCTGAAAAAGTGGCCCGCAAAGTGGTTGCTCACAGTTAATATTTCCTCAAAGCTTTCTCTTCGGTTCTCCTCCTCTTCCATAACCAAGCTACTCCTTCTATCACATCCTTTCAATCTCTTTGGCTATATCAGAAGCAAATTGATCTCTCTCTCATGTTCGTTTTCAAGCCCATAAACTTCCATCTTCTTCTTCGTTAAAATGAACTTTGATAAACCCTAATCTCATACTTTTCTCCTCAATCCTAAACACCAAAACCGAATCTCGGATCATACCCAAAAATAAGAATAGATCTCTATCGAGTCCCGCTCTGATATCAATTGAAAAAGCGGTTTGTGGCTAGATCTCTACGTTTGTGTTTGTAAGTAGTATGTATGAGCATAAAGTAAAAAACGCATAGAGTTTTTCACGAGGTTCAGTTTTTCCTACATCCCCGGGACCTAGTCCAGAATCAATCCATTAGAAAAGGCCGCAACCTACAATTGCTGTATGGCATACCACCACTCTTTTCTACATGGACAAACTAAGAAGATAGGTACCAAGCGCGCATGCTTGACAACCAACCAGCAGCACCGGTGCAACACCGTCTTCTCAATGGCTGCAATCTTCATAGACAAACCACCATCAATATGGTGGGACAACGCCACACACATATATGTGCATCTCACAAAGGAACCCTATGCGCATAACTCTTTTTGTCAACGCCTCTTGCCTTTTATACTACCACCACGAAACCCTCACGTTTCATGTCATGTGAGCTTTTAACCTCTATCATTATTGGGCTTTTTAATTTAATAATAACCCAATCTCACTTTTCTCCACAAGTTGGAACAACTCCACCAGTGTTTCAGAAGCTCGTATTTTGTTGCTCCAGATACCTCTTTTTCATACTTGTGATCTTATTGGTAAGTATATTGAGTGATATTTAACTTGTAAAGTATATTTTCATCAAAACCTAATGATTTCAAAATGTAAGATTGAAATCATATTGAGTTTATGAAACATTGTGAGATGTTTTGTAAATTTCGGAAATTAAAAATTTCAAGTGTCCTAATGGTAAATGTAATGTTCCTACTTTAATTTATCAATTTACATTCGGAAAATTTTACCTTTTAATACTCAAACTTTGTAATTTTCTATAAATTCATAGCGAGGGTTGGTAAATTGTCGGAATATAGTCACAAACGTATAACGAATTTTTGACGACTATATATGCGTCACAGAACTGTGACCACTCTGTTACGAACATAAAAAAAGTTTAAAATGATCGGTCTTTTGTTCGAACCCCGGACCGGTTTCTCTTATAGCAAGGGCTGTTGCATCATGATAAGTTGTATTATCTGTCATCTGATACATAACGTTTACATATAAATTCATGTGGAGAGTAAATAAAAAAATGTGTGTGCATATGGAGCAGCCAGGACTTGAACCAAAGTCTGTGGATATTAATAATGTTGTAACTAATCGTTGTATTGTCACATGGTCTTTTATATATTGGTAAACATAGTTTGATAACTAATAATGTATATAATATATAAATAGATGGAAAAGAAGGAAATTTAAACTTTAAAATTATCCTATCAAGCCCATATTAATCAAACATATTACAAATATTTCACAAAATCAATCCAGCATAATTTAACATTCTTCATAATTA